AGAGCTGCACCCCAGGGGGGCTGGAACCCACCTCCCAGAGGACGAGTACTCATCCCAGGAAGATGATGACATGTATCAACAGGAGTTGGCGAGGACGTGGAGAAAAGGGTACCCTTGTGCACTGCTGGTGGGGCTGCAAATGGGTGCAGCCGCTATGGGAAACGGTATGGAGTTTCCTCAAAAAACTAAGAAAAAAAAAAAAGAAAGAAAGAATAGAACTACCTTATGACCCAGCAATTCCACTTCTGGGTGTTTATCCAAAGAAATCCAAAAGATTCATTTGAAAAGATACCTGCACCCCTATGTTCAATGCAGCGTTACTGACAGGAGCCAAGATGTGGCTATTCTAACGTAGGAGCTCATCCTTAGATGACTGGATAAAGAAGACGTGGTACATATTACTCGGCCAAAAACAAGAATGAAATCTCACCATTTGCGAAACATGGATGGACCTAGAGCAGCGGTCCCCAACCTTTGTGGCACCAGGGACCGGCGCTCCTATGAGAATCTAATGCCTGATGATCTGAGGCGGAGCTGAGGCGGTGATGCTGGCGCTGGGGAGCGGCTGCAAATACACATGAAGCTTCCTTCGTTGGCCCGCCGCTCACCTCTGGCTGTGCAGCCCGGTTACTAACAGGCCACGGACAGGTACCGGTCCACGGCCCAGGGATTGGGGACCCCTGACCTAAAGGGTATTGTGCTGAGTGGAATAAGTCAGACAGAGAATGATAAATGCCATATGATCTCACTTATGTGCGGAATCTAAGGAAAAAATAAATGAATAAACGAAAGAGAAACAGACTCAGATACAGAGAACTGATGGTTGCCAGTTGGGAGGGGAGATAGGAGGCTGGGTGAAAAGGAGGAAGGGATTAAGAAGTATAAATTAGTAGTTACAAAACAGTCACGGGGATGTGAGGTACGGCACAGGGAATACAGTCAATAATATTATAATAACTATGTGTGGTGCCAGGTGGGTACCAGACTAATCAGGGGGATTACTTCGTAATTTATCTTAATATCTAAGCAGTATCCTGTACACCTGAAACTAAAAAAAACTGAATGCCAATTGTAATTGAAAAATTAAAAAAGGGAGGGAAAGGTGAAGGGAGTGAAAAAGGATGATGGTATCTACTACGGAGGAAAATAAGGCAGACCCGGGGCTGAGGAGGGGCCGCCACTTCAAATAGGGTGTCCAAAAAAGGCCTTGCAGGAAAGGTGACTTTTGAGCAAAACATATACATGGAGGTTGCTCATGTATACTTCTTTATAAGCGAAGGATCAGAAAATTCCACGTTGCGAAAGTTGTATTCTGGTTCCCTAATTCAGAGTTTTTCTTCCTGTCCCCACCCCTGAGGTCACTTCCCCTACACCCAGACACTTCTGGAAATTTGGGTTATTCAGTCTTGCCTTTCTACACTCCACACCCAGAGACCTCTAGTCCTCATTTTTTAGCCGCGCTGAAAGATTTGAGCAATTCACTGCTTAGGGACAGTCCTTGCATCAATGCAATGGTGAACTGACTTGTCTCCTTTGTCCCAAGGTACATTTTGCAATGTCCCAAGACATTTTCGATTGCCACAACCGGGGAGTGGGGTGGGTATTATTACTTTTCCCAACAAAGAATGACCAGACTCAAAATGTCAATAGTGCCAAGGTCAGAAAAAGTTTGATTTAAGGGAACTGACCTTGATCTGGAATGTCTAATTCAGTGTCAGAGAATGAATGAGTTAGAAAAGGTTATCTTCTCTAATTTAAAATATTGACTAGAATTAAATGATAAAACTCTAATCCGCTTAGCCTCCGAGTGGTCATAAAGATCCCCGATTCTTATCTGCACGGTATATACCAAGTCCTTTGGTTTTGATGGGCAGTCACAAAATCCCTGGAAGGGACTGGCAGGGCAGGAGTCATACTGGCTGAGACCGCACCTTGTACTGGGAACGTGGGGAGAGGGGTGAATGAACTGAAAATCACACTTTATTTTCTACTATCCTTTCTGTGAAGAAAAAAGACTCAGGCTCCAAAAGCTTCACAGCGCCCTACACCTGCCTCTGTGCACCAGGCCTGTACATGGCAGGTCAGAATGAATGATGACCAGTACGGAGTAAGGCTGTTATCTATTGGCTTAGGAAGCAATCGACGGGTCTTTTTAGTGGAAACTCACCCGGGGCCTGACTTATCTGTTAGGCCATCTTTGGATGTGAGTGAATGTTCAGAGATTCTTGACTACTGCTTCGGGTCGTGGGAAAAGTGTTGCTTGAAATAAGACTGAACAGAAAAGCATTTTACAACCAATTTGACATGCACTAACGGATACTATTATAAAGAATAAGGCCAGAGAGAGCCTATAAAATGAGTTTCTCCAAGGAAGGAACTAAACTTAAATATGGGAGACAGGCTACAGTTCAAACCTCTGGCCAAATCATCATTGCACAATACTTTTTCAACATTATATGCAGACTACGGTCAAAAGTTAAACTTTGGGTTTTGAGTCTAGAACTTTCACAGAAAGCGATCCCCTTAAATGAAGCCTTCGGCAACAATTCCATTAAAGCGAACAACTTCCTCCCAGGTTTTCCTGCTTCTTGCCAGGATAGGAAGATGTGTTCACTCCTACTGGGCATGGGGCTCTTAAGAAAGATGTTGGATGTTCCAGAGCAGGTCAACGTCTCATGAGGTTTGAAGTGCTTGACAAGCATTACCTCTGGTAAACATCGCCCCGACCCTCCAAGCAGAGAAGAGACCCCCAAGGACAGAGAGCTTCAGCCCAAGGCCACACGCAAGTGAGAGGCGCAGCCTAGTGTTGACAGCAAAGACTTCCAAGAGCCTCAAAGGGAAGGTTAAGCTCAAGAAATAAGTATCAGGTCCCTCTCACTCTGCCTCTAATAAACTTTCCTTTTGAATCTAAAAAAAAAAAAAATGAAAGAAGTATCAGCAGGTTCGTGGTGTCGAGGCAGCTGTCAGCGCGTGGAGATTCTCCCTCTGATGCCCACACCTTGGCAGATCTGGGTACTCTTTCACTCAGGGATGTAGTAAGTTTTCTAATTTCAGCTACTTCAAACCCTTTAATAACACCCAAACAAATGGGCTAAACCACAGAGCGTAGCCAGGATTTTAGGATAAACTCACAGCTCCGTAAAAAGTGCTGTTTACTCAGACGGTGCACTCACAACATAACTCTCGTAGTGATAGCGATAGGGTGTCTTTTCAAAAAGGCAGACAATCTCTCAACCTGCGCATACGGTTTACACAGGTCTGGTCAGGGAGGCAGGTTATGCTGAGTGAAAGGAAATGGCTAGAAAAAGAGTCCACACAGATGGGTTCCATTTATAAGACCGTCTTGAAAAGGCAAAATGATTTGCAGATTTCCAGAGTTGGGGGAACTGGCTATCGAGGACCACGAGGAAACTTTCTGGAGTGATGCAAATATTCTAGATCATGATTTTGGTGACAGTTACAGGACCATATGTATTTGTCAAATCCCATTAAAATGCACAATTAAATTCATGAGTTATATGTATGTTAATTATAGCTCAATAAAGCTGCCAAAAGTAAATTTAATAAAGAGAGATTTTTGAAAGAATTAAGGCTCAGCCAAGTGAGCTGCTTATAGGGCAGAAAAATAATCACATGTCCAAACTCCCAGGGACCCAGGTGGTTCATAACTTCCGCCTTGTCATCTGAATAACAAGTGTCTTCCCCGCCACAGAAACGACAGACTGGTGTGAACACCGCATTGAGGACAGTATGAAGGGAGGGCGATGTGGCGAAGCAGAGAGTACACTGAGCTTGGACTCTGCAGATACAAAAAATCAGCCTCTGTTCTCAGGTTTATCAGTGTTTACCTTGAACTAATAACACCCAGCCCAAAGACTGCAGCTCTACTGTTTGCTTTGCCTCGTGGATCTTAAGTTTCTTCATCTGTGAAAGCAGAAGGTCGCACTAAATCACTAATGTCCACCTCTTCAGTCATTTATTAATTCAGCAAACCTTTCTGAGGATCCACTTACAAGGCATTTAGAAACAGTGAGTGAAAATGGGCGTGCCCAGAGGACCCTGCTGTCAAAGAAACACTGACGACGGGACTTCTGAGGCTGGGTCATCAAAGACACCAAAGCGCCAGTCTGGCGTGCTCTCTCTGCCCCTCTGTCTGCCCCCAACTCTCTGTAGACATTCACTGGTACCTGGCCACCATGCTGTGAAGAAGGCCAGGCCCCATGGAGGGGCCACTGGCCTGTCTTGTGTCTGACAGCTCTGACTGAGAGCCGGCCTCGGCCTCCAGATGAGTGAGGGAAGGGAGGGAGCATTCCCGTGCCCCAGCCTGAGATACTCTGGATGACAACCTTACCTTGCTGGGTGCAACCCACACCCAGATCTATGTGACATAATAAGAAAATGATCAACCTCCCTGTGGGCATCTTTAAGGACAGAGATCACGAGGTATTCACAGGGCATCACAGAGAATGTGGAGTGCAGGATTATCTCTGAAATCTTTGCATTCCTTGTCCACCCACAAATATACGCAGGCTACCACATATGCACTCTAGCACAAGGGGTCCTGCCTAAATGCAGAGGGACAGTGAGTGGGCACTTTAGAGCCTGAGTTGGCTTTCACAGCCCTTTCTACTGACCAAACGCAAGCATTTGAACAGCAACGAAGCAGACCTATTCTTGGATCTGTCCCTTGAAGTCTTTCTGTCACCCTGATTTCTGTCCACGGAGAAGTTTCCCTGACCTTAATAAGGGCTCTGTCCAGGCTTCGGCCCCTCGTGATTGCCACCTAGAAGGGCTGGCTGCTGGGGGCAACCACCCGGCGCACCCGAAACTCCAGCACACAGTGCTGCCGGCCGCGGCCTTCATCCCGGGGACAGGACCCCCGAGGACAGGCCCTCTGGGGCCAGGGCCGTAGACGGGGGAGGTCCCGCGGCGGGCAGCACACCCGGTGCAGAGTCCTGGCCCCGCACCCCGCGACCGGGGGACCCAGGGGGCCCGCTCACCTCGGGCCGGCTGCGCTTCTGCAGCAAGTGCTCTAGGTAGAGGTCGGAGAGCGCTGTACGCATGCTGCCCCCGCCCTCGCCCTCGCTCGCCTTGAGCGTCATCATGCGGGAGCCGGGACGTGGAGACGCGGGGACGCAGACACTAGGGGTCGGCCAGAGACTGGAGTGCGAGGGCTCAGGGCCAGCGGGGCGGCGGAGGAGGCGGAGGCGGTGCAGCTGGGTCCGTCTCCACCTCGCAGGCGCC